ATTCGGACGCGTCGAATTGCGAAATTTTCATGTTCATCTGTCGGATCGTATATTCACGCATGAATTTGTAGCGGCAGCGAAGGAAACTCCTTGAAGAGTGAAATAAGTTCGGTCTGAGAAAGGACGCAAAAAATTTCCGATATTAGGGTACGATGTAATCGAGAGATATACAACGTCTTGGGACATGGAATCGTGTTATAACTGTAGCTACACCAACGTTATTTCATCTCTTGTCAAATTTTAGTTTATCGGTACCTTTACAATATCGTTCGTTCTTAAGAGAAAAATTCCTCTTGAAAGGACTATCGCGCGAATTTGGAGAATCAATAGAATGAGGTTGACAGTCGAACACGCTTATTATCATAAATATTACCATTGTTCGGCAAGATTTTAGCTTTTCTACGTTTAATATCAACAAGTTCGAATCATCGACAATAAGTCATCAACAATAATGTATTTATTATTTTAATACGTCTGTGTACTTAACAAAACGATATATAAATTAGAAAAATTGCGTCCTTAATAGGTTGATCGGTAACAGATCAGAGGAGAAACGGTTTTCGGGCGTTCGATCGCTGATCGAACGACAAGCTGCTTAATTATTAATATTCGTGGGCCGAGTGCAATTTCATCCGGCGTCGGCAAGTAGGTCGCGGGACTGGTTTTGGCGCTCTTTGTTATTTATCGTGGCACGATCGAGCACGCACGCTCGAAGAACTCCGAGAAAATGTCAACAGGGAGTAATCTCGATTGAAATTTGTTCGTTTCTTCGAGCCCGTGTCCCCGATGTCGCAGCCTGGTTACACGCGTACTTGTACGAGCCGATGTAAGTACTCTGCGCATAGTAATCTATATCTGCGTGTAAAAGTATATACAAGCGGCCTTCTGTGTGTGGCCTTCTCATTATCGTGGGACTCGCGAATGATAAACGCAATCGACTCGAGTGACGATTTTTTTCCTTTTCCCTTCTTCGCGCTTACGAGGCCGTGCGAATCAAGCGTGCACACTGTTCCCGATCATGGTGTTTGCTCGTCGCGTGTGTAACTCGCGTTGCATCAGAAAGGACTTTTTTGCTTCGACAAGCCTGTTTCTCCTTGTTTATGAAAGCGGAAGGTTGCTTGGTAGATCGGTGCTTGTGACGCCATCGACGATAGTAGCTGAGCAGGCAAATTATCAGGGCGTTTATTTTTCTTTGTGAATTTTTTAAGCATCTCCTCATCGGCTAATTGTTCTTTGTTTTTAGGCTGGGTAATTTTCTGTTGTATATCGGGTAATCTGGTTTCTTGGTCGCCGATTCTACAGGGTCTCTGTATTATTAAAGACGAAAGTTATCCGCAGTTTCTTTGCGAATGTACAAAAGATTTCATCCGCTAAGGATACTTTGCATGAGTTTTGGCAACAGAGAAATTTTACGCCGTAAGGAAGCGAGTTCCTTTGCATACTGGAATTCATAATGCCCCGGCCGCTGTATCAGCGAAGGAAAAAGGTTATCTTCAAATTATATTCTTCTTTACGGATATAAGAAATTCCATCTGGTGAAGGCTTCTCTATTTTTCAGAACGAAATGTTTTCCAAAGCTGTTTGGATCATTCACAGTTCTTGTACATAGTTATTCTCGTATTTTCTAACAAAAATACGCAATTTAAAAAATACGTACACATGTTTCGTATAGAAGAACGCTATTGATTTTAATTTGTATACAATTAATTAGAACTTGAACGTTCGCGCATAAAAGCTGCTTCTCTGAATCATTATTTAATAAAAAATCAAACGAATTTAAAAAATTCCAAGAACGATACAATTTCGATATGATTCTACCTATCGACATTCGCGCAAGTGTGTACGTAGCTGAAAGTTACTTGTAACGACGTGTAGAATAAATCAAACAACTGTTTCAAGCAAAGCGTAACATCGATTTGACGATGCTGGCTGTCCATCCAAGTCTAATCAAACATCGACGAAATATCGCCATGGGAGCCCAATGGATATCGCGATTCGTTGATTTCAATCTGCGAAGGTTGTCTGCCGTAATTGGTAGATTTCTCGTTTCCGTTCGGCTTGTCGTAAACGCGCCACGCTAGTGACAATGCTCGTAGCACGATACACCATCGATTATTACCTTGTCTTTGTCTTAAACATCAGGAGAATTCTGTGAAAAGTTTTCGAAAATCATTCGAAATAAAAGAAATTTTTGTCTAATCAACCTTCTGTCATTAATAATCTTAGAACTTTTATGAAATCTCGCGACATCTATAGAGTCGCTTTATGAAATTTCATTTTTACGAAGTAAAAAGAATTGCTTCAGTTAATCTTCTATGATTGATGATTTTGAAGCTTTCACGAAGTGTCGTATGGAATTTGTCGAACGTTCCACGACGAATTTCATTTCTCTGGAATAAGAGAAATCCCGTGAAATAATCTCCTGTTATTGATCATTTTACAACTTTCACGAAATTTCATGAAGATCAATCGGTCGTAAGTTGGCAATTTACTCTCACCACAGATCAATCGAATAAAAACACAATGTCACGTATGAAACATAATATTTATAAAATATGTAAATAGGTTGTCCTGTTCTTGCGATATTTTTTTCCAAATATTTTCGCGAACCTGAAGTGACATTTCCAGCGAATAATTCTACGACAATATGCATCGATTACTGCAAACGTGGCTGCGAACGCCAAATTCGCTGAAATTAATCTAGCATAAAATTACAGTGACCCACGCGTGTCATAATTAAAACTTATAAATGACACTCGGTGTGTACAAACGAGCTCGTAACGGACGAATTAACCCGTAGTGACGCAGCTGATTTCAGAAGGTTCGCAAATTTTAAACCACCTCATAATTTACTTTTGACAGTTACCAAAGCTTTCCCGTATTTTGACAAATTTCGATACGAACCAAACTCGCCGTAATCAATAATGTATTTGAATGTATTTGAAGTTTTTGAAATTTTGCTTCTTTGATGAATGCAATTTCCACTTTGAAATCGTCACGGGGTTTTTTTATAATCTCTAACGAGTTCAGTCGAAAATTAAAAGTGTCGAAAAGTTCTTACAGAAATTAACTATTCTTCCTAGTTGAAAGAAATCGTATCCAAGTACCATTTCGAAGGCGAAAACAAAATTAGAATTCTATTATTCTCTTTCTGGAATATTTGTTTCTCTTCAATTTAGTTGGAAACATGTAAGCATTGTTTCGTGACAGCCTGTATAACGTTACTTTACTTGAAAGATAAGAGATATTCTAATTTCTCTGAAATTGTTCGGATATTTCTTCTTTATCTATTATTGATAGTAAAAATACATTTTTCCGATATTTTTGTAAAGAAGGCGCACGAGTTTAAAATACAAAATAAAGAGAGAAATATATATTTTCAATTTCTACATTCAAATTTTTAAACATTTTACGCGTTTAAGAAAAACGGGAGACGGATACATTGGTCGTCTTGTAAATTACTTAATAAATTAATTAAAATACATAAAAAATAATTAATCAGCCACAGTGATTTAACACCGTAGGAATTCTACGGTGTTAAAATAACGAGAAGTTAGTATTAATACGCGTAGCCAACGATAAATCATAACATCGAATGTTACTGTATACAAATTTTCGAAATAAACGAAAATCGAAGAACAATTCTCGATTGAAATATTCCGCTTTCTGGAACGCCATTTGGACGAATCGAAACGAGTGGAAACGAATCGAAACGAGTGGAAACGAATCGAGTTAGGGCAACGTGCCACCGACTTCCGTTCAAGTCGTCGCACGAGAAGCATCAGATAAACACGCGTCGTCAGAATAATCGCAAGAAGATGTTCGATCGTAGGATAACGCAGGATGTTCTCGTGTCATCATATCAATTATTGGTCAAATTCGATCTTCATAAAGGTAAATAAATTTTTACACGTTTTTTGTAAAGGAATCGTTAAATTTTGGTAAATTTTCGAGATGAATTTCACACTCGTGAAACAGATACGTAGTATACACTCGTGACTTTTAGCGTGGCGAAGGACGCGAGCAAATATTCCACATATTCTCGTGTTTCCAACGCTTCGTATTTCCGAAACATACATTTCTATAGTAACATAAATACTTCTATGTAAGCTCTCACGTTTTCCAGTTAAACAATTCGCGCCTGATTTTCTGCATTCTGTTTGTTACGTTTCTGTATTACATTGTCTTAATATATATATATATATATATATATATATATATATATATATTTATATATATATATATATATATATATATATATATATATATATATATATATATATATATATATATATATATATATATATATATATATATATATATATATATATATATATATATATATATATATATATATATATATATATATATATATATATATATATATATATATATATATATATATATATATATATATATATATATATATATATATATATATATATATATATATATATATATATATATATATATATATATATATATATATATATATATATATATATATATATATATATATATATATATATATATATATATATATATATATATATATATATATATATATATATATATATATATATATATATATATATATATATATATATATATATATATATATATATATATATATATATATATATATATATATATATATATATATATATATATATTTATTCGAATTCAAACAAATTCTATATATATATATATATATATATATATATGTATACATGTGTCATATATATATATATGTATCATATGTATCAATATATATATATATACATATATATATATATATATATATATATATAGAATTTGTTTGAATTCGAATAAATTTTAATTAATAGCAGATTAAACACGGATTTATTTCAAACGTAAAGTTCGTCAAAAAATATGGTAATTCGATTGAAATTGCTGAAGGCTCGACTATTTCAGATACATGAAGCGATATTCGAAAAAAAAGAGACGATTCGACACGATGCTCGAAAATGATAGAAAGATCGTCGTTGGAAGTATAGCAATAGCGATGAAACTATCACTTCGATATGTTGTCCGGCATCAGTTTTGGTAAGAAATTCTTTCTTCGTTTCTAATATTAAAAATATTATAATATTGCTATAAGTGTTGGTTTCGCTGTTAAAGAAAATCAATCTGAATATACTTCTTATTTTACACTCTAATATCATCGCGAAGTTGGAAGGTTAATACTTGTCATACGAAAAGTCGAGTTTCTAATGAATAATTTCGATGGAAGTTCGGTAACTTTCCAGTCCCATTATCGATCCCTGTAAAATTGTATAATTGGCCGTAATTAAACTGCAAACGTTTGTCGTAATTATAGAAAGTTTGAAGATGCAAAGATATGTAAAAGTACGTGAAATACTCGGATCGAAGTATTTTATAACATATCGCGCGCTTGATCCTTTTTAGGAAACAAACTTTTACATTATAATATGATAATATTATAATAATTTTCCACAGTCCCGTTTCATTGTTTGCCTTCATAAAAATATGAATTTACGCAAAGATCCGCGGTCGGATTAAATCGTAAATTTAATTCGCAGTTGAATCCCAACTAGCCAATTTCGAACATGAGAACGAATAATCCCTTTTGAATTCTTTTGCTTGTAAAATAGCTGCACTAATTCGTCGAAGGAGTAGAAAAGAATAGAAATATTCGGCACGGAGAGGCAAAGCTCGTAAAGCGTGCAAGCCGGAGCGATTAAAAACTTTTATGTCCGCGCAATATGACGCGGCGACTTGTTTTTGTCAGCCGGCCTATTTATACGCACCTTTTGGCAGCTACGCGAGAAACTTCGTCACGAGGATGCCGTTTCCGTTTCGTAGCTCCTTCGTCTTCCTCTTCTCTCGAGAATTTACAGAGTTTCTGTCCCCTCTTCCTCCAACTTTCTTCTATTTTCTTACTTCCTACTTATGTGTCGTTTGTTTGTGAATTTTTCTGTCTTTTTTTTTTGTACTTGTAAGGAGATTTAGGACATTTCATAATTTTGTGCGAGTAATATAATAACATGGATTCTTTCTATTAAAATTGACGTTTGATTATATTTCGGATTAAATATCGCGAAGGATCGCGAAGGATTAAATATTAACGTTGGCATGTTAGCGTAATAATAACGGCTTCAGGAATTTTCAAAATTAGACTTACATTAGATTCAGGATATTTCGCAGGAGTGGACGCAGAGAATCAAATATTCACGTCGGTATTTTCAATAACAGCGACCTTGCATCGAACTCGATTAAATTTCGCGTTTCCGTATACGTCGCAGAGATGCAAATTTTCGCGTCGTCGATGTAAGAACAATAGTCTCCGATTAAGTCACAGTTATATACGTATACAGAGAAGATTTCCAACTTTTGAAACTTTTATAAAAGAATATGCAAGGATTTCGATTTAGCGGTTCGATTCAAATATCCATCTTGAATATCCACTAATCTTTTAACGATAAACCGTGACTTCGTATTCGATTAAAACTGTTAAATTAAAATTATAAAAGTAAAGATATAAACTTTCAAACTCTCCATTAAACGTTCAAAAAGAGAATACGCGAGAAGCTTCAACATCCACATGAATACGGTTGAACCAACTTTGCAGAATTATCGAACTTTCACGAATAGAACGTACAAAGAGTTCAATATTCGTGTCAGTAGCGTAATAATAGTAGTTTTATGTTGGCTATGGCTGGAAGATGGAAAGGATTGATGGGCAACGCCAGATGGCTGACTCGTATCGCGTTTCCCTGGATTCTGTCCGTGGATTACGCGAGTTTCGCCTAGGGATCTCGGTTTCGGCAGCTTACTCTGTTTATAGTTATGCACGTTTGTTTGGATCTCGAACGTTGATGATCTGGACGCGCTGTGGAAAGCGAGATCACCGAGTTTTGTAAGCAGCCTTCTTGGACATTTACCGGAGATCGTGTTTCTTCTTTTTTTCCTTTTCCCTTTTGCCAAACCATTTTGTTTCAAAGGATTTGCCAGAAGGAAGATTTATCGAATAGAGAAAAGCAATCAAACGATTCGATTGCTTTCCAAGTATCGTCTCCTTCTTCGTTCGTTCCTCTTTGTGAAACCGTTATATTCCTGCGGTTAAATATTTCAGTATCGGTATAACGATTTTAAAGAGGATTTCATATATATGTACATATACACGATTGCCGGTTATGTTTCCGTTTTAAAGCAAAACAAGTTTTTCTGACTTCTGTTCTCTGTATACGTTTGAAACGTGTATACAGGTCGGCGAAAGAAATTTTCCAATGTTGCCGTGCTCCAGCGTTTCGTATTGAAACACACGGACTGATCGTGAATTAATAATTTGTAGGCTGTGGATATTCATGCAAATTCACATTTTACGCGAGCAAAATTTGAATAAAATTACGTTTTATCCTCTGAATGCTTACGTACTTTATTCCTTTCTTTATTAGGCGTTTTTCGTTTATACATTTGTGTTTAGTTTGTCCATTGTTTTCGTGTCTACAGTTAGCATAAATGCATAAACATCGGCAGCCGTGTAACTAGCAATAAAATGAATACACGTGTGTGTACTTTTCGAAAGCGTGCGTTATTTCCAATAGTCCGACACCTAAAGACCTGTTTCATTAAAAATCTGCATTAGTAAGAGTCACAAATACGATCGACTGTCTCATAAATATTCATTTATCGCGCTACCATAACCGTGCAATTTCTCGATTAGTTTGCATCTTCAAGACTACTTCTATTTGAAATCTTCGATACGAAGAATCGCAAATACGATTACCTATGTCGTGAAAATCCATTCATTGTGTTACCATAAAAGAACAAATTCAGACACCCAATCAATCCCAAGAAATCCTCATCATATTTCTACGAACTTCGAAAGAAAGTCGCGTAAATAAGTTCGGAGTATACTACGTACGTATGTATGCGGTGTATGAAAAAGATATTATAGTGTACTAATGAAAAATGTAGTAAAACAAAAATGTAAACGAAGAATTCTTATTAGAGCTAGAACGATGAAAGGACATATACGTCAGACAACCATGAAGATAGAACACGGAGGTTCATCCGAGCTTTGTTACTAACTAGGAAGTAAGTAACACAAGAGGAAATTAAAAGGCCGCGCCAGCATTAAAAATTAAACGTAGAATTCATTTTACAAATGTTTTGTAACTGGATTCGAGCTTGTTGCCAAATGTGGACAATGGAAATTGATCGATGATCGAGAAACTAAAAACGTGACTTCGCTTAAGAATCGAAAATCTTAGCAAAGATTATCGATTCTAACGAGTCCCTTTCGTTTTTCTCGACTTTTCGATTAGTTTTCATTCATAGATTCATTTAAATATAAATTAGAATATAATCTCGCGAGGAAGATACTTCTGACGATGTCGCAATTATCGGAATCGATTTTTGTATAAGAGTTTTGTTAAAGATATGTGCTCTCACCTTAGTTTCGCGTAAATCTTTTCTTGTAATCTTAGAAAATAGGTGATAAATGTATAATTCGTTTGTAAGGACCTGCGAATTTAGATATAATTAGGTAAATATGATTAAAATAATTATTACGTCAAATTTGTCTCTTGATGAAAAATTTTGCATACATCTCGAATTAATTTTCATAAATTATGCATTATTTGGAATGAAATATGAACGCTGTATATTGTAAAGGTACCTAGAAACTGTGATCACATTATGTTAAATTTTGTAATTCTAAATTTGTAATTTTAAACAATCGATTATTCTAATTGATGTAAGTTGTATTTCGGCGGGCAACCGTTTAGATTTACCAACCTCATCTTATGATTTAATTTCATTGTTTAAATATATACAATTTTAAATAATTTGCATATATTAACAGCATAACAATTGTTCAAATTTTAATAAGCAGAAAATTAATCTTTCATATTTAATTAAGATATACAACGTCTGTATGTATAGGTAGAAGCAAATAATACCAAGGTTCCTTAAATCACGATTCTTTTTTACTAAGTTAAGTCATGGTTCTTTTTTATACTTTTTGGATCATTGTTTTATATGTTTTTATAATTTGATTGTTATCAGACTCTTAACATTATTCGACTATTATCTAGTTCGACTTTTACGACTTTTACTCTTTGAACGTGATTTTTGGTTAATCCGAAACCATTGTTTGGTTCTATCCCCTTTTTAAGTTTCACCAAATGTTTATGCGCATATTGTAAACTTCGAAAATATCTTCCTTGTATACATTGTTGTAATCACCTTACGAAGAGGCAAAGTTATTCTATAGACCTCTTAAAAGATTGTTAAATAATTGGTAGCACAAGTTGAAATATTATATATATATATATGTGTCATTCGTATGATTGGCTAACTCTTCTATTTATATGTTATATTTCTATGTTGATATACTTTTATATTGCATCTATATTTAACATTATAAGAAATACATCCAAATTCGACTGAAACATTGTTTGACCACTACGCACCTATCTCACTGCGATTTCTATCATTTGACCTTTTAAGTCCCTTTCGCGTTTTTCTTCAAAACATTCGTAAAAAACTCTCTAATGTCGATCGAGATATAGCAGAATACACGCAATAAAATATATTTTCAGAATCGTATTTCGAATTTAACGTAACTACCATGTGAAAATATTCTTGCACAGGAATAATTCCGAATTTTAATACGCAAAGTAGGAGGAAAGTTAGTTGAAATTTTGAAGGCGAACCTTCTTAATGGACTACAAATTCAGAACGTTATTCTTGCAACTTCATTGCAAAAGTAGAAACAAATGATCTCGCTGTCAGTAACTTCGTTCGTTTCACAGTCCTTTAAATGGAAAGTGAATCTTCTTCTCGGATTAAAGATCGACAGCGTTATTCGACCAGTTGATTTCTGAACGTACTATCCTCGATAATTGAGATTACCGATATTTGATCGCACTCACGCGCGATCGATTAATAGGCAGCTTTTCACAAATTGAAATTTAATATCGTCTACAGGACTTTATGGAAATTCGACACGCTCTGCAACCCACGAGAAAACGGTTCTACTGCGCCGGAAACTTCCTTTGAAAGAGATGAAACGATTCTTTAAAGTTTCGAGCGATTCTTATTCATGAGGTACAACGCGGAACATAGTTCTCGAAAACAGTAGCGAAATAGTGTTGCAACGTTTCTAGTCTGTTAAAGCGTATAGGCGGTGCGCTGTATTTTGCCTTTGAATTTTATATAATTTTTTCTGGCCAGAAATAGTGGCTGGGG